CCAGTGATGGTGAACCTTTTCGACACCAAGTGCCCAAACTGGAATGTGCACGCATGTGTGCACCAGAGCACCAGAACACAAAGACCAGCTGGCCGGTGTGCATGCACACGCCAGCCAGCTGCTCTTCTGGTTTCTGGTGCGTGCATGCACGACGGCCAGCTGGTCTTCGCATGCGCTGGAAACCTGAAGATCAGCTGGCGATGGCGCACATGTCCACAGAGAGGGCTCTGCATGCCACCTCTGGCACATGTGCCATAGGTTTGCCATCACGGTTCTATGCTAATTCAATATGCTCATGCATTTCTTATTTATTTTATACCTTTCTCCTAGATGTACACTTTTTTTTTCCTTATGGGGGGTTTTACAAAGTCCAAACCTCTTTCCAAAGCATTACAAATACTTAAAATGACAAATGACAAATCATTATTGCTCAGAAAGCTGAGATGAACTTCACTTCATATGATATTAACCCAGCTTTATTGGAGAGTGACATATTTAATTCAAAGAAAATAAGCACCCCCTGTGGCTTGCAGTTCTCATCTGGGGGATAGCAACTTTCCAATTCAAACTGTTATTAAACCAATGTGATCTTTGAATAATTATGGCAATCTTCCACAAGAGACTTTTTTTCACTTTTAAATGTTCATTTTCTAAAGATGAAGCCAAATTAAGAACCCTTCCCCCTTCTGGATTTCAACCACTCCCTTTGCTTTGACTGCAGTCATGGCTTGGTGTTCTGCTCAACCCAAATTTACCAAGATCTCTAGTTTGGTAGATTCCTCTGATTCTTTATCCCTCTTGGATCAATTAAAAGAAAAAAGAAAACACCAAACTTCATTATTTTGCCAGACTCTCAGAACAGAAAGAAAAAGGTCTGGGTCTGGGTTTTTGTTTTTGCTTTTTGCATAGTTTTAAATTTTTGCTTTTCTATTTATCTTTTTATGATCTGTAAGCTGCCCAGAATCACCTTGTAAGAGAAGTGGAGGGGAGGGGATGTTAAATAAATAAACAAACAAACAAATAAAATAATAAAATAATAAATACACACGCACACAGTAGTTTTAAAAGAAAAAAATGTGTACTTCTTTGTCCTGTTATGTCACAAACCTGAGGGAGAAAAAAGCCCAACATTTTTATCTCTTCACAAATGGCAGCAAAAAGCACCAATCAGGGACCAGAGGGAAAAGGATGTTCCTACTGCAGATGTAGTAGCCAAGTGGAATTGGAAGCAATTGAAAGGCATCACACACATGGCTCAGCGTGACTTGAGCTGGCACAAGATAGAAAACACTATTTCTGAAGCAGAAAAAGACAGAAAACAGAGGTTGGCTGAGGGAGGGTGCCATGTGTCTCCCTCCCCATTCAAAAAGGATGAGTGGCTTATGATGGAAATGCAAAACTCCCAGTTTTCCAAGAAACTGTGCTCAGATCCCCCATAAATACTGCCCCCTCTCTTTAACTCACATACCTATTTCCTATAGCTTTGCAACATAATTTAAGCAGCCCACTTCACCATCAAATATTACCATACACACTTCCCTTATAAGCATCAGCATATTGTTCAAAACCAGCATTGTTGAACCCATCCACACTTAAACCACTGTGGCACTCTGGGCTCAAAGCCATTATCAGCTAGGCACACACTTTCAAGCCCCTTGCTTCTTCTGAGTTGCGTGGTGTCATTTCTAAAGGGCAGGAGAGAGAAAAGGCTAAACTAAAAGTATTTTTCATGGTTGTCTTCCCATAACATTAGCAAACAAAAGAACATTAAAGCAGAACCAATAGACTCCGTGTGGCTTTTATGTATGTAAATTTTCTGGCTACTTCTCAGTCAAAACACACACTTCTTCCTTATGGATAATGCATAGATTGTGACATCCTATGAAATCAGAAAAGGGACATGAGAATGAAATCCTCGAATTGCAACACCACTTCTAAACCAATAAATGGGAAAAAAGGAAGAAGGAAAGAAAACTTCTCCATTTGCCAAAATAATAATTATAGTTAATAATAATTTAAGTTACCATTAATTAATATAACATAGATCATGCTCCTACAACAAACATAATAGAGTGACACTTTGAAACTGAATAACTAGTGCAAACTTATTCTGTGATCGGGATTTTCTGATACTAGCATTTAAAGGCAATGATAATCTCACTGGCAATTTCTTAGAGGTGTGATACTTTTGCCAAACATGACAACGCGATAAAATATGTGTTGCAATGCCAAAGCATATTTTAAAATAATGTAAATTAACAAATTCCTAATCATGAAGAGTAATTTACCTTGATTTTTTTTTTCAAAGACACACATTAATCAGCAGATAGGATAAATTCAAAAAGAAAAAAAATATGTTATAGAAATGTTCAGATCACTTCCAAGTTCAAGACTGCTGTGACCAACTCTGCTTCCTTTGCTTTTAATTGCTNAGTTTACAATATTTAAAACTGGGAGGGGATAAAAAAGCCCTTATTATAACATTTTCCCTGCATCTATATACTTTCAGTTGTCAAGGAAGAAAAATTCTTCCTCAATCCAATTCCTTTTTCTTTGTAGCTCTCTGCAGATAATTTTAATATCATTCTTCAGTAAAGAGGTAATTAAGACTATAAATCTGACAGACAGACAGTAAAAGTTTTACTGACAGAGATCACTTATCTCTCTAAGTTCTACAAGAAAACCCATAAATAAATATGATATCAAGGATAGGAAAAACTCATTTTCAAGGTGGAAGTGCAGAGAATATCTATAACCATAGTCTCCAAAATGAGCACACTATCAGCTGTGAAAACCACTTTTGTATTAGTGAGTGTGTTCAGTTATAAATGAAAATGTAAATAATTGTTTCTCTCTTATTTGGCAGAAAGGTGGCTATACCATCAGAGTCAATTTAGGTATTTGCCGAATCTTTGAACAATCAGCCTAAAAGATTCAGTATTACTAATCTCGCATAATCAATGCAGTTTAGAATCATCAGGAAATCTTGACAGCCAAACTAAAACTAGACTGTTCCTGTTGGGCCTCTGTAAACAGTCTTTTTTTCCCCACTGTATGATAAAGGACCAGCTTCCCTCTTTTTTAATTAACATACTCTAGCTAGAATATAATGGAAAGCATGAGCTATGGGAAAGGCCTTTTGTCTGTGAAGTTGAATACTGGCAATGTTGAATGCACAAAAAATCTCCTGTAGTGAATCGTGATACTTTTGATGGAGCTAAACCTTTACACTGAGTGTTCTACAAATGGGATTAGGAGGATTTGTCCAAGGATTTCCTCAGAAAAACAAAGAAGTTCTTGGAGCTATTCAATCGTAGGTTCATAATAGAGTCAGACATTTGCATGTGGGCGCCTTGAAAGTGTTCAATCATCACAAATAAGAACATCCATTTTCTCCTTAGTAATGGCTGCAAATCACTACTACACTTTAATTCCTGACTCCATATCTGCTCCCCTCAAGGCAAGCAAGTTTATATTTTCTCTTTTAGTGCAGAGAACCATAGAGACAAAAAAACTACATGGCAACAATTTAAGAAAACATGTTTCATATCTGAGAAACAAAGCAAATCTTAAAAAAAGAAAAGAAACCCAGAGAGGGTCTGTTTTAATTCCAGGGAGGGTAAGAGGGAAGGGAAGGGAAACATAGCCAGCCTTGAAAAATTCTGTTATTAAAGCCCATATCCATTAATTAGCATTCCAATCATCTGAAAGAGTCTGTTTCATAACGTGGCCTACCTCAAAAGGTAAAGAGCAGGAAGCATTGGAAATGATGGACCATCAGTCATAGCCATAAAAGAATTCTGCAACCAATTCTGCTGGAACTATAATGACGTGAACATTAGCATTAATATAAATCTGTGCTCCTTTTACCCTGCCCCTACAACACTGAAACAAAAAACAACCGTGTAAATTCATTGTGTTGGCAGTGGTGGGCAGAACCACGAAGTCTTAGTGACAGTTGGATTCAAACAGAAGCAGTTACGTTTCAAAAGAGAGCTCAGGGTAGGAGTAATTTGCTTTTCAAATGTAGGTAACATGGAAATGTACATGGCAAAAACTGAAGACAAAGTGATGTTAAAGTTTATTGACTGATTTGCATTAACAGAGATTACACTGTATATGTATTGTAAGATGTTTGTGATACATTCAAAATCATCATCTACCAAAGAATCTTAACATTTTGTTCATAGCAGATAAAAGAAGGCAGGCTAAGGCAGACCATGAACTAGACAGTATTTTCAGCAATTGGCACATGGCTGACAGGATCTACAACAGATCCTACCACAGTTGTCCTACCACTTTATAATCAGGGTCAAATGCTAAGCAGCCTCTCAATATTTTGAAATTATATTTGGAAAATATGGCAGCAAACTGCCAGTTTTGATACTAGGATTTAAGGTGCTTTTTCAGACTTGGAGAAAAGGCTTAAGAATGAGAATAGAAGTTTTCCTTCTAAAATAGCAATAGCACTGGCACTTATATACCACTTCATAGTGCTTTTACAGCCCTCAGCATATTGCTCCCAACAAATATGGGTCCTCATTTTACCAACCTCAGAAGGATGGAAGGCCGAGTCAACCTTGAGCCNTTTTTTTTTCAAAGACACACATTAATCAGCAGATAGGATAAATTCAAAAAGAAAAAAAATATGTTATAGAAATGTTCAGATCACTTCCAAGTTCAAGACTGCTGTGACCAACTCTGCTTCCTTTGCTTTTAATTGCTGCAATATTCTATTCATTTCAATTATTTCTGGATATCCTGAATAGTTTGTAGCTACAAGGAGGCAATTGTACAGATTCAGAAAGCAAAGAAAAATGGAAAAGAGAAAGAGGGGGAAAAACATTCTTGTAGATATCTTGTTGATAAAAAGCCATGGCATGAGTTCATTAAAACTGTCTAAACAATGTTATTAATGCAAGCACACAAAACTTGTAAGAAGAAACACAACTGATTGAATTTATAAAAATGAAGGGAGGGTTACACAACCACTTACTTACACTTTTACTTCTGACAGAGAGAGAGTTTGTATCCTTGCTCATGATGTTGCAGTTGCTGATCTGGTTGGGATTTTAGCAGCAGAAGTTCCAACAAGAGCAAATTTCACCTAATGCAAAGAAAATATACTATTATAGTTTCACACCACCTTTCAAGGTATTGTGTTGCTGAATTCCTATGTTCTCCTAACAGAATGCTTTTAGTGATGCTAAACTATCATTCCCATCATCCTGAGCAACATGAATTTCCTAATGGATCAGCCAAATGAAACAAGGCTGCTTTATTAACTTGGCATCAAGAGCTTTCTGAGATAGCATACCAACACCCTCTAAACAAATTAGATCCGTGTTTTCCATTTGAGATGGCGCCTTTATATGAACTTTAGCACAATGCTATATACCATTCATATATTCCAGTTCTCTAAATCAGTATTAATAATTTGTACTTGTAAAACATATGTAAAACACATTCCCTGGGGACTATTTGGTGAAAGGAAATGCAATTAGCATATAAAACTGCAGTACAAGACTATGTACAAATATGAAACATAAAGAATTAAAACAAGTTAGAAACTGCAAATCTAAATGGGACTTGGTCCCAAATAAATGGATACAGGATTGTGGTGTTCTTTAAACATTTTTTGACATTTGTATAAATAATTGGTCTTAAAGCTGAGGACATTCTTTTCCAACTGATAAACAGAAAGACTTAAGCATAAAACAGACCATTTGTTTATAACTTCAATCATACATTTAAAGTTGCTGTATATATAGGTAGCACTCGTATCGTATGCTNTCTAAGTGCTATTGCTATTAAAAGGTTTAAGTGATCTTAATGTTGAAAGGCCTTGGAGACACCATGAGTCTCTTTGGACAGAAGGTTTCCTATCTTAATGCCACTCCCTTCGGCATAACAGAATGGTGTGGGATTAAGCCACCTAAATGGGGTGCATCACTTTGACATCAAAGCAGGAATCACCATGTTCTGCTAAATTCTGCAGATAAGAAACATGCACAGGGAAGAGCAGACTGAATTATAATCCTTCTCTCGGGCAGAGAGAAAGGGTGGATGGGTAGATAGACAAGACAGGCTGATAGATAGCATCTAGGCTGCCCTGCCTCTTCTTACATCAACTCTTCCTTTTGATTCTCACAGTGTCTCAATGGCAGGGAGATAAAAGAATGTGTAATTACTATATTCTTTCTACTTGCAAATTGAAATGATCTGATCCACATTACCACTACAGGAACCCCCATTCCCTCAATTTGAAACATGGAAAGCAAGCTTGATAAATGAAGAAACTTTAACAGTGAATCAGCTAACAAAGCACATAATAGTTCACATATATTTACATACATTAATTGTTCCTAAATCTATCCTGTAAGGAAGCATAAATAAAAAATGTGGGGCATTGAATTCCTCACAGCAAACTGCTGCTTTGTCAGTAGTAAATAACTTAATCATACTGATTGTATGGATTTAGACTAATGAATTGTTGTAATCCTATCAAAAGTATTAAATTCTAGTAGTAGTGGTTATTGCATTCTGAGACAATAAAATATTTGCTCAGAAAAATGTTTAAAGAAATAATCTTACATTACTCATGTCTTCAACCATCGCTGAGTAAACCAGGCTTGTGTACAGCCTATAAAACAAAGTAAGTCACTTGCTCATTCTTTTGTCTCTGTCTGTTCCTCTATTCCTATTAAAATTGCAGCACATCAACATCACTGTATCTCACCAAAGTTATTAATTATTTCAACCCATATGCCTCTTCGTTTCAAAACAATTCCCTTTCCAGACCCTCTTATACCTGGCAACTTTAAGTCTGGAGGACTTCAATTCTCAGAATTCCCCACCAGCTTTGCTGGGAGTTGAAGTCCTTTAGCCTTAAGATTGTCAAGGTTGGAGAGCCCTGGTTCAGAAGCTTGAAA